CAATGATCTTTGAATATATGCCAACGAGCTCGTCTTCTGGTATGGTCCTCCAGGCTGGACAGGTTGAAGCGCGAGGCTGGATGAAGTGCGATCAACCGTCTACCCATTCAGGTGAATTTCAACGAAACAGTTTCTGTTTCGGATCGATCTGTGCACGGGTCACGAAGGGCCAGCGGTTCGAAGGGGTGCCGTGACAGTCTGTAATGAGTGGGCCAACAGAACCTGTTTCACATCTGTGTGCCTCTATACATGTGGCGGTACAGGGATGGGTACATAAGTAACGGTCGAAGGAAAAAACCAAGTCGCCGGAGGTACCAGTACATTGCACAGGAACTATCAGAAAATGCTGATTGACAACAGTTTGGAGTAAAATAATGACCGCTTTTTACGAGTGAAGTTTTATCCGGTGCCTTTGTATTAAAGTCACGTTCCTGTCTCATTCTGTCTGTCGTTAGAGAATCATATTCTGTATCGTGGGATTGTGTAACAATTTTTTTTTCAATTACAATGCTTTACTTTTTACATTGCTGAAAATACCATTTATCACTTGTGATTCCAGCAATAAACTTGGCATAGCATTTATTTTAATAGTTATAACAATTTGCTGATTAAAATTATTAACTCATTTTAAACTTAATACCGCATGGCAAAACTGATTTACTTGAGGCGTTCAGCAAGATTCTGGTCAGTGGACCTCCGTCAGAAATCACCATGCCTTTTGTGTCGGGGATGTACTGATGAATGCTGAAAAACCCCTTGTGTACCTTCTGCATACCTAAAGCGAATATTGGATCTCACATGCCCGCAAAATGTGCCAAAAACTGTACCATGGTCGGCCAAAATGATTATGTTCAGGCAATTAAAAAGATTGTTCTTCAGCAGGCTTGACATTAGGTAATCAGGTATGCCATCAACCGTTTTTAATATGGCGTTTATCTGAAACAGGAACAATAATGTGTGGTTAATGAAAGGGTCTGACCATGTTGCAAGGGCATACCTCTTCCGAATTTGGGCCATATTTATGTCCTACCAAATCTGGCTCATTGAAATAAGCGTTGATCACTGAGGGACGCGCCGTATCGTTATAATTCAGCCATTCGATGATTTTGTCTACTTTTTTTGTGAAGTTAAATTTTGGGTCATATTCAGCAAAATAGGATGGTTGTTTTCCTGTAAATCAGCATTGGCATCACGCTATACTTTCTGAAAATGATTACCTTGAATTTTGACTTCAGAACCTGCCCATATATGGGTCGCAGATTTCATCTTGTTATTCTGCGCCGTATTCCATATCTGTTTAGAAATTTAAAATTTACATTTATATCACGAAATATAAGTCCGGGAGTAAAAACAGGTACAGTGATAGAGAAATACACTACACATTGGAAGCAACGCGGTTGAATCTTTATGTTATTCTGAATCTGAAAACGTGCTCTTGGCTTCAGATAATAGGAAACATTGGGAGAAACTTTTAAGTATGCTCTTTTCGAACAAATTCGGCAATGAGTCAAGGAATACATCCTCTGACAGAGTTTGTATTAACGTGAGAATATTTGTCTTCTCATCTCTCTCATCTCAGATACAGGGATAATCTGCCAGAATACCTCATTTTTCGTCTGGAAATTAGACTCCAACACCTCTCTGAATTCTCGCAGGAATCAGCCTTCGCTTTTGGCACTTCTTTCGCTGAAGCTTTGCTCGCTTCTTCGTACGGTGTTCGAGTTAAAGGCTCTTTGCTTTCTGATCATGTGTTGAACAGCCTGTTTTTAGATGACAGTAGAAAACTCATTTCTGAACCTTTCGCCAATCTGCTTTCAAACCTTTTGCCAAACAGTAGCATTCAGCAGCAGCTCTGAGTAAACCGCTCTTAGAATGATTCCACGCGGTTTCCATATGAGCTGTTATCCTCAAGATGTGTTGTTTGAAACTTTCACCCTCATAGATGCGGAAGATAACGTTTCCCATATGACTCTCTGGGTCTTTTTGTCGGCAGGTTTTCGCCAACAACAAGGCGATGATCGGTTGACAGCTCTATGCATCTTTGACCTGAACATCAATTATAGAACGTCGTAAGTCAGTCGATACGATTATCAAGTCGACCATCGCTTTCGGGTATACTGAAGCATGCTGCGATGCTCAAAGAAAGTGTTCATAATGGACAGGCCGTTGATGGCAGAAAACAGAAAGAGCGTCATTCCGTTAGTATTGAAGCCGCTGGGGGCGTTGTTCCCAATAACTAATTTCCGCTTTTCAATATCTGCTCAGTTATGCGCTTTGAAATCACCTATTGAAATGATGGATATTGTTGTCTACATTTAGTACAGAGCGCCTTTTACTTCCTCCAGGCGTATCTCATATTCTCGCTTCAAATTAGGCGCTTAAATCTCAAACAAGTTCGAAACCTGTAGCCTGTTCTAACTTAAATCAGAAGATCGCCATATTTTCGATGCAACAATTTTGTCGGCCAAGTTGTCTTCTTGCAAAACTTCACCCGTGGCCTGACAGTGTACTGGAGAATCGAAACCAGTGTGGAAGAGCTTCCCACATAGAGGACAAAAATTGCCAGGGCCTTGGCGTTTCGTTGACGAAAATCAAACGGATCTAGGAAAGTTCACCGACTGGGAAATTCACCGACCCGAAATTCGTCGAAGGGAAAATTCAGCGATTATACGATTGATCACCGATGATTAATTTATTGAAAACCATGAAACGTAAAAAAAATTTGTTTCATATCACAAAGTGTTGTCAACATTTCTAAAAAATTGAAATGTGCTGATGTTGAATTAATTTGCCCTAAAATGATAATGATGTAAGTACCTGCAAATTTCAAATAAAGCAGATTTCATTGAAATCATTTAACTGTAAAAGGGTTTTGAAACATTATTTACACACATATAAATATGTTGTTACTGCAATACCCAATTAGTAATTTATGTTATATGCCACATCTCTCAAAAAGTCTAATACATTATTTCCGTCATAATTCACAATGAATACTCTGAAAAGTCTTTCACCGCAATCCCCATGTTTCTTACGCGTCGGGCTGCCTCTTTGGCCAATCGCATATTGTTCTATCTGTAATTTACCGATGTTCTGCTCACGCTGAATCGCTTCAGTAAACTTCCCGATAAAAGGGTGTTGCGCACATATTTGTATTTCGAATCCAGACGCCATCCTTCAGTTGAATTCTTTGTCTTTGGAAGACGGTGTCCTACTCTTTCGTGACAGCAGCACATTTCTAGGGAAAAGAGGGCCATTCGGCGTCCCATGCGTCGTTGAAAATGTCCTGTCCAGCAGTCATCAAAGCAATCAATCATGCCTTGCGTTTCTTCAGGCACGTTATCACCGCTACCGCAAAGAACCTCAAATGCTTCTACCACTTCTTCTGTTGGGACTAAGGCCAACGCGGACAGCAATTTTCCATTTTCAAAGCTTCTATATGAGCTGCATCCCGAATATGGTTGTGAACTCCTTTCACGGCCTCACTGGCGTCTCCAACTGTTATTGCATGAACCCGGAAATTGTGCTTCTGATACATCTCACACTTCCAATATATCTTGTCAGCTTGTTTTTCTTTGAAAAATTAGTGACTATCCACTAAAAGTTTCTGCTTTCCCTTTTCACTCATGAGGAACAGAAAGGCCATGTTGGTAAATGAAAATTCGTAATTAAAATATCACACTCGAAGAACTTTTTGAAACTGATCTCTTTGAATTTTCTGAAGCTGTATATAGGGCTGAAGCATGGTAATTATTGTGCTCATTAACATAATCTTTAAAAAATGTGTTATTTCAAAATGATGCAGTTTTAACTTTTAGAAAATGCCTATATTTTTATGTCGTTATAACAAATTTTAATGAATATATCATCGGCGATCAATTCTAGAATCAGTGAATTTTCCAGTCGGTGAACTTACCCGATACGAATCAGACTATGACTAGTCGACACCTTGCAAAATCATCAATTATTTCATGTTCTTTCCTCGTGAGTGAGGATAAGTTCCAATTTCTGACCACGTGCATCCACTGTCAGTGCCGTTCCCGGGGAACCTCACTGTGATGTGCTCCAATGACATTGTGCCGTCTGTCTCTTCCATTCAGAAACGGTAGCGACTCGGTTCCTGAATGGTGTCTTCGTATTGTTCTGGACGCTTTCCGGTAGTTATCGGAATGCAGCTATGTGCATAGCTTCCAAAATGAGTGAGGAAGTGCGTAATGGTGCGAATTTGCTTTTCAGGCCCTCAAAGAACCAGATCAATGCTGGATTCATATTTGATCAGTTGTACAATTTCCTGAATTGACATCACACTTAAATTGGACAGAAGTCAAGTTTCGGTGATTTGACCGGTGTCAGGAAGGAAACTCCTGCACTTTTAGGTAATGTGCCGCATTCGCTGCTTTTTATTTGAATATCTTTGAAATTTTATAAAATATTCAGTTGAAGAAATTTTCTCATTGTACATTTAAAGCACTGGTGAATGCATTGTACATTTAATGCCTGATGACAGTTCGATGACAGAACAGAAACGGCAGAAAGTGTTTAATGGATGAAGCCTTGGACTAGAAGAATTTGATATTTTTGCACATATTGAACTATCATCACCTGACGTAGAATAAGCTCACGTAAACATTACACCCACTCATTCAAATTCGCATTTTTCATCCTCTTAGATCATCATCAACGTCTGATTTTTCCTTTGTAAACTGAACATCTGCTATTAACTAAAATGTAAACAAATGTGTCACGTTTACAAGCGCGTTTGAAAGAACAATGTTGGTATTTTTAGGCGGATTCCTTTATTGTATGATTATAAGAAATGCATGTTTTGATAACGCGTAACGAAAAGAAAAAGCTTTTCACTGCGACTTAGGTAGTATAACCAGATTCATTATAACGTGGGCTTCAGCCGCTCAGCGTTCTGCTGCATGCATACTAAAGGAACGACACTGAAAACCAAATCTAGCGCAAAAAATTAATTCTAAAATGTTTCGAATACCATAAACTATCAGTAATTAGTTTTTTAATTTTAAATTATGTCTTATAGCTAATTCATGATATGCCAGCTGCGCCAGTTTGAATATCAATCATATGCATCCAAAGACGAAACGTGTCCTGTATTTCAACATTCATGTGGTTATTCGAGAGCATCATCGAATGGCAGCAAAATTTCAGCTTCTTACCGGTTCGCCCTTCCACCAAGCTGGGTCTTTGTAACTGTCGTCTTTCATTGAAAAGTATTTTTTCATTTGCGGGTCGTAAAACTTGTTTTCAACGATGCCATTCGATTCAGGATAGAGACCCTAAGAAGAAAGACAGTTTTACTGAACCCTATTATTTTTATAAAAGCGTCTCGTACCGTCACAATGGCATAATGGTTAGGAATTGTCTTCGAGGGAAAACTAGGATACATAAAAGGAGCGTGGGAGCCATACCTCTTTATGAAATTCATCGCCACAGTCTTTTTCCTGTCGAGGTAGTAGCGCTGGAATCCGTCGAATGACATGATCAGCAATGGTTTTTTCGACCATCTGAAACAGATATGATTTTTAAAACTGCAGGCTTGAAAGTGCTCTCATACTCAAATATTAAACGTCATTACCTTAACACCTTTCCAGGATAAATGTGCTCCTTGAACTGCAAACAATTTGTTGCTTACTTGCAAAACTGGCACAGCTGACGAATTAATCAACAGCAACATGACGACATAGTCATTTAATATTAATTTATATTCTTCATATCCCTTACTGTACGTGTTATGTCATTTTTATACAATTTTACAATATTTCATTTCTACCTTTATAATCGTTTACGTAATGTCAGATTTAAAGTGTTTTGCTTAAAACGCATTGCTCTTCATGCTATCCTCAACATCGAACTCCTGGTAACTGATAACATGGTCCAAAATGTGGCAGTTTCTTGCATGAACTATGCAAGCGGAGGGGAAGTTCATCACGGAGAGGCAAAACAAGGCGGTTCACAGTTCAAGCTAGAATTAATACAGCAAGCGTCATGTCTGAAAATCCTATCTTTTTGGAAACAAGCTATTAAATACCAGTTGCATCTGCCATTGCGAGAATGCAACCTGTTGGCATAGTGTTCGGCTTTCACGTGGATATTACTTGAATGTTAAATTGTATTTTTCTGCTGCACATTTTCCCCTCCTCTCCACTCCTTTCGAACTTAAGTAAATAGTATTTGTATGAGTCACAGAAATATGGCTTCAAATCGCTATTGCCTCAATAGTGTGTTACCGACCATTATGACATCTGTCCGGGTCAGTCACTCAATTTTTATGATTGCATAACTTTTCCGGTCACGGAGGGCAACGCGGCAGGCAGTGTCTCCAACGTTTCTGATCCCGTCGTTGTGTTAGAAACATAGCAGAAGATAATTTGAGTCTAGAGCAGGCTGCTTTAATACAGGCTTTAATTCTTGGCCGTCCGCGGGATAATCGACCTGTGGATTAGGCAAGTAGATGATTCACTTTCTTTTCTGTAAGTTTTGGAAAGATGGATCCAAGCCATTGCAGCCATGACTTCTCAATCTGCAGAAGCAGCGGCTGTACACCAAGGCTCTCTTGGATATCTGAGCTCTGGACCATGACACAGGCGTGAGCCAGCAATTCGTCTCAGAAAGCCCATTTAAGCCGCTTGTACTCGAAATCGAAGTTTCTCCAGTCGTAGTTCATAATTCATAACCAT